AGTCATCAAGGTGCGGTCGTTCGAAAGCCTTGACGCTGCACAGCTCAAGCCTCAGCGTCCAACATTCAGGATGCAGAGACGGTGTGTCCTGGGTGTGTGTGTGTGTGTGTGTGTGTGTGTGTGCGTGTGTTCTGTGTGGGTGAGTCTGAGTATGTGTGACTGTTGTTATGTTCGCTATACAGAACTCACAAAATGACACAGCGAGACTGTTTCGTCGGACTTCCACCGACTCATCAGGAGGTTGAAACCCGACAGTCCGCCCAAGTACTGATGGCCAAGGACTCACCACGTTCGCGTGTGTGTGTGTGCGTGCGTGTGTGCGTCCATGCGTCCGCATGTGCATGCGCGTGTTGGTGTGCGTGTGAGCGTGCGCGTGTCCAACGTAGAGCGAAGTTGTAGTCGACCATAGCAGCGTAGAAGTCAGTCGGCGTCGAGCGCTCAAGCCTACGGTATGAAAAGTCGAAAGTCGATTGGAGGGCAGGTGTGGTGTGGGGCCACGCGGTTTTTCCCGCACCGCCTCCCGAAATCGAAGGCCGCCTGGTGCTGGCCGGCAACGTCCGACAGTACCGGTGCTAGAGCGGGGGCCAGTACCTTGTGTGGTGGTACTGGCTCTGGTGCGCGGGCCCGGTACCAAGCGTGGTGCCGGCACTGGCATGCGGAACCGGTACTGGCCCTGGCGACGCTTCAACTTCTAAGAAAAATGATCAGCAGACAATCGGGACCGTCGTGCAGCAGAAAATCGGAGGGCCCCGATCGTCCGCTTGTCACAGGCAGGAAATTAGGGATAGTTATATATGTAGTGACACTGATCCCGACAACGGGACATACGGACCCGGACGGGCCGGTTATGAATGAACACGTCCGGATGTCCGGATAATAATAAATTAATTTAAAAAAAACGAAAAAAAACAGACATGCTGCTGTAGTTGTATTATCTGACTCATCTTGAACACACTCACATACACCGCGACTCATCTTGAACACACTCACATACACCGTGTCGCGTGCACACACACACACACACACACAAACACACACACACACACACACACAACCAGTTCTCCTTGGCCCGCTGAAGCTCACCCAAGATTGCAAGGACAGGCCCTTCAGGGCCGGTCCGGTTGGCCCAACAGTCCACCAAAAACTACGCCAACAATTTTCGGGGGCCAGCGAATTCCCGCATTTGGGATCTGACTTGGTGAGAGAAGAGCTTTCTTTTTCTCATTCTTGATCCAGGGGTTGCCGAATAAGGGTTGTTAAGTACTTTGTCTCTTCTTTTGGGGCCCAGTTTGTTTTCCGGGAAGATTCTTTTCCAAGTGCATAATAGTTGTTCCCAGAAAGATTTGGACTGGCACTTTCCTTTGTCTTCCATTTGATCTGTTTGTTGCATGGTTGTTAACCGGACATCCGGATTGGGATCCAGACGGTACGGTCTGGATGTTCAGCACCTGTGGAATGACTTCGTTAACACTTGAAAAACAGTGAAAGAACTCAGAATGATTCTAAAGGGGAAACATAACCTACAAGCTAATCTCTCTCACATCATTGAATCGATACCAATGGAATGGAGGCGTTTACTAAGATCAGACCAAAAATGGCTAAGGGTAGACAGGGTGGCACAGAAGAATCAGACAAGTACCCTCTGAAAATTATAAGCGATGAAACATCTGAAGGAACTGCCCTCAGTCTGCAATCAGGGCAGTCCCATCAGGTGTCTGATTGATGGCCCTGATTGCACGACTGAATCCTACCGGTAGTCCTGCCTGGCCTAGAAAAACGACCTGCCTGGGTCCCTACCAGATGTCCAGGCGATCCTGCTTATGCAGCAGGAACTCCTCACTACGAATGGGCACAAACCTGGTCTATCTGGGCCTAAACATGATCCAGAGGTCTGAACAGACATCTGTTCGGACGAACTGAGAAGTCCAAAACGAAACCACTGGAACAGACAAAAATAGACCAGGCAAAAGAACGCCTCAGCAAAAATAAATAAACGAATAAATAATTTAATAAACGAATAAATAAAGAAGTACATAAATGCTGAATCTAAAGGGCACGAGTGGAACAACACGCGTGTTAGGCCTGAAGAATGGCTGTGGGCCTCCATGTCACGCAGCTGAAAAGTGGGTGCGTGGCCTGGGGACCTCAGCAACCATCGGGCCCCAAAAACCTGGCCTGTGTACAGGCCCCAGCATGCTACACAGTCTTAAAGCTGAGTTAGTACCCAAGCTTGACCATGTACTTGTTGGTTGGCTTCACCCGTTCGACTTCAGAATCAACACTCATTGACCAGCCACTTTTCTGTGGATTGAAGTCTAAGTTAGTAGGTTGGCGATGCCTGTATCCGGGCAAGATATTTTCTACAGACTAGAGATTAGTTTCTGACATTGTTGATGTCTGTATCTGGGCAGGATATTTTCTACGGACTATAGATAAGTTTCTGACACTCTGATTTCCCTTTTAAGTCTTGGCGTCCAGTAAGATTGCCGCCCTCATTGACGACTTCGACAGGGAGTGATGTGAACTGTGCTCTACAATGGCCTGGAGATGTATGTTTTTCACGCAGTGCGCTGTTCCAACCAAGGCCAATCAGGAGTATTCCCAGTCTCCCTTCTTCCCTGTGAATTCCTCTTTAGGAGTTGGACGTTGTCATGCACTACTCAAGAGTTTCCTTGAGGTGATGACATTCCTTTACGGTTGCTCTCAGATAATGGTCCATTTTCCGAACCCTTTGTTCGTTGTCCTATACATGCTGAATCATTCATGCCCACTTTTCCACCCATTAGAGCCACCTGCTGTTGCTCTTAGTGAGAGACCAAAGGTCCCCTGCCTTGTTAGTTATACATTTATTGCAGAACAGGGGTTGCCTGAGGACTTACCTCTTGGCTTCTTGAGGGGCATTTGCTACTTGGTGAGGGATTCTCAGTAGGGTTTCTGGAGGGGAGGGGGTGCCTTGCCTCTAATCGGAACTCCCGTTTGTCTTTTTCTCTTCCCTAAAATCACCAACCAGTCCCTAGGTGTCAGTCAAAACAGACCTTTCATATTTTTCAGTGGTTTTGCTAGGATCAGATGACTCCAAAAGTGACAAGGCCAATACTCCTGGAGTCATGGCCAACCAAGAAAGAGTGTGCAAAACGCACAAGCACACTTACCAGAAATGCTTTCCAGAAGGAACCCATGAGTGTGCGTCCAATAGATGGCTTCAAACCCATATTCTGTCCATCCAACATAGCCAATCATCAAAAGGCACAGAAAAACAGCACTCTGATGTCAACCACCATGTATTGCATGAACATTCTTGAGAGTCAAGAACACATCTTGAGGACTTTAGAGCATAGACACTCTCTCCCAAAATTTTTCGCTGTTCGTTCAGGATGGCTTCTACCTCTCAGTCGAGCTGGTGGCCATGGCGGACTATCTGCGCCCAGCTCCGATGTTCAAAGGACAGTGCAAGGCTACAGTGCCTCTCCTGCTATCACCACCATGCCACAATCAACCTCCGGAGTCTTCCTCTAACCCCACTAGGGGTCTTCAAGGTGCAGCGCCAACCAAGAAGATTGACAGATGGTTAATGGATGGCCCAAAATTCGGTTTTTTTTGCCACATCACCACAAGCAACGTCGTCAAAATTTCCGCGAACAAACAATGCAAGCTTCGGGAAAATTCAGGGAAATATGGCAGTTTTGGTGAAGTTCGCCGAAAATAACACCACCCATTAACCATTAGTGCAGTCCACCATAGCCAGGTGAGCCTTTTTCTTCTCTCCACCTTCTTCTTCCGCCTCCCTCTTCCTCCTTGATCCTCCTCCTTCCTCATTTCTCCGCCATAGCTAGATCTTCTGGCTTCTTCCACCATAGCCAAGGTGGGGCTTGCTCTGCCCATTCATTGTTCCCCAGGGCTACACTCGTTGGGTGAGCGCTCCAGCAGAGTGCCTTCAACTGCAAGGGAAGAATGAGGCAGAGTGAGTACCCATTCCTCTTCATATGCTTCACCCAGTGTCTCCTAGGCAGCAGTTGCTCCCGTTGGATGAGTGCTCCAGAAGCGTGCCTGCTAGTGCAAGTGAAGAATGAGGCAGAGCAAGTACCCATTCCTCCTCGTATACTTGGCCGCTGCATCTTCACCCACTAGGTATTAGGCAGCAGTGGCCTCCAAGGCCTACCAGTTCCCTCCCATTTGGCAGGAACATCATCGCAGTCTGAGTAAATTTCTGACAAAAGTTAGCCAGTTGACTATCGATTTGTTCAGTGATTGTTTTTTGTTGTGCAATAGCAGAAAGCAAACTTGGATCAGTTGAATTCAACAACTCTTGTTCATATTTAAGAATTTAAGAAAACTGAATTTGATCTAAATAACCTCTGAAAGCTGCATAAGTAACAAGTAGTTGCTTTTCAATTGAGATTGGACTAGATATCTTCCCTTGCAGGCTCTAGACGTAGGCCTACCGGACTGGTACCTACCCTTGAGCCTACCACACCTCCAAAATACTACCTCAGCCTACTCAAAGGTACTACCTTTTTGTCCTTTTCTGCTATCTACCCCCTTCTACTTGATTTTGGTCTCCACGGGGTTCCTTTCCTCTACCCTACCCGCTGCACCCCAAACACACGCGGTCACAGGTTAATACCAGGCCCGAGGGCCATTCCAGCATACAGGCCATCACCAGTGGGTCACAGACACATGCACAAGTTCGCAGACAGGCGGGTAAGCACATGGAACATATATATCAGCAAGCACGCGGACCAGGCACACACTCAGACAATGGGAATCCGGCCTTCACACAGAACAACGGCAAGAACTCATAAAAGCAAAGGTTCCAGAGTCTGCAGTTTGGCAGGTTATTACATGATCCTGCTCAGTTCAAATTGTGAAACTCGACATAAAGGCAACGGCAGATTTTGCAACTTGAAAGTGGGAGAAGGAAAGAAGAAGAAAAAATACACGAGTTTGAACCAATGCCTTCTCCTCCTCTCTTTGATCATCATCCCATTCACATCATCCTCTCCTCCTCTTACAAACAATCAAGTACAATTGTGCCGGCCTTGGGACCCTAAGGCAATTAAAATTTAAAAGGGTACCAATGCAAGCTATATCACAGGATGAGACCCCTCACCCGGTGCACAATCCGGAAGGCGAGATGTCAGGAAACGGTCGACAAAAATCACTGCCCGTTGGACCAGGCTTAGGATAGCTTCCTCCAAACATTAGAGGGGCGTCTAGTGGGTACCATTGAAGTGAGGGACACAGGACCCGATTTCCAGCCGATATAATAAAAACGAGATTTCTGAAGGGCAAAAAAAAGATTTCCAGCTGATAGAATAAAAAGGAGATTTCTGGGAAAAAATAAAAACTGATTACCTTTCTAAATGAATCAGTGAACAAGAAGGGGGCCAGCAGCCTATCTCGGTTGATAGAGCATGAAAGCTCCATTCAGGAGGTCGTGGGTTCGAGTCCCCACGCCTTCAGTCTGAATTCCCATGGCCCCCTGCGGCGGCTGCGGGTTCACCAGCTGAGATATTCAGCTCGCCCCCCCTGATGGATTGGCAAAGGGGGATGGTCCCTTCCAGTCTGCGTTAGGTCCAACCCTGAAGGCTCAAACCTGAGGGGATAGGCTCGACCCATAACCCTAGTGTGCTGCGACTTTGGTGCATAGATGTGGATTGCTGTGTGTGTCCGTAGCCTGGCATTGGCCCGGGACAGTAGGTAGCCTGGTATTTGCCCCAGGATAGGTTAGACCCTTTCTCGTCAGGTTGTGGTTAGACCAGAGCATATCACGTGGGGTATGTAGGTAGCTAGTGTGAGGTCGACACGAATATTGAGAGAAGAAAGTAGGGTAGTAAAATAAAGCTGTCCCCCATATATGAGGAAAAGACAGCTTAAAAAAAAAGAAAAAAAAAAACACGAGGATGATTGAACAGGAATCAATGTAGTCCACCTTACTGCCAGCACTCCAAGAGCTCTCGTTTCAGCCTCACTCTCACTCATCTGCTCTCGGTGGCATATCTTCATCCACAATCACCACGGATTAAGGACAATGCAAATACTACTCTGTCCCTCCCATCTCATGCTGCCATAGCCACGCTCGTGGAAGTCCAACATCAATCAGTACACCCAGCAGGGGCCTTCTTGATTCAGCACTAACCAAGGAACGGGAGATGTCAGAGCCAAAGGTAAGTCTCTCCTGTCGGTTCCCTACTCCTTCCTCTCCCTCAACCTCTACTCTCTTCCTCCACCTACCCTATATATAGCCTGGCTTGAGGTTCTTCTCACTCTAACTCCATAGCCTAGGCATAGCAACGGAGGTCTTCTTCCTCCTGAGCTCTGCCGCTTCAACCCAGAGCTCCGCCTAACTCTCCCTCAGGGCGGAGCAGCAGCATGACTGCCGCTGAACGTTCGGTCTGATGTACATCACGGCCTCCAGTACCTCTACCCCTGGGCAATTCAGTGTCTACTCGTGCACTATGCCTACTGGAACTTCCTGCGTTTAGGCGGGACCACTTCCAGGCCCTGAGCCTACCCTGATGTCTACCTACATTCTGGGCCTGTACCATCATGACCTGCTGTTCTCCTAGAGCCATTATGTGAATCAGCATTCTAAATCTCCACAAAGCTGCTGCTGCTGATCAAGAACGACAATAATAATGATGATGACAATGATGCCGAGGACCATGATAATGCCATCAGTTATGACGGCAACAGTGACATAACAATGATGATAAACGTAGATGGTGCATTAATGATTGTGTTTCGCAACATACAGACGCCTGCTTATGGACTGGACGGGCAATCATGAAGGTCACTCCACCATGGCCCTGCAGTGTCACAAGAGTAAGGATGGCATGTGAACGCTTGCAGTCCTTTTCACTTTTATTCTTGGAAAGGCACTTGCATGCCACACCAGTACGGAGAGCCTGCAGAAATGCAGAGTCTACCCATTTTTCGCCCTTACACCACCACTACCTTTCACAGGCAAACTCGAAACCTCCTAAGAATGCAGTATGACCTATACCGCATTCTTCAGAGGCTGGGCGCCACTGCAACAAAATGGTTGGCAGCAGCAGCAAAAACAAAAAGGAAGTTCAGCTTGGCGTGCAGTTCTTTGCTGCCTCAGAAAAAAAGAGGCTCGGAGGTAGTGGTGGTTTAAGGGCCCCAACATAGCTATATAATCTTAAAGAAGAGTTTGTGGCTTTGAGCCCTTCAAATACTGAGTAACACATATGGGTGTAACAATTGGTCTACCAGGCACATAAAGAGTTTCAATCTTAGCCACTGCCTCTATGAGCCCCATAAGGCCCCATTTTTGCAGCCCGTCTGCCGCCCTAAAGGAAGACAGGCTCGACGAGGCCTTCAGGGCCCTATTCTGGCCACCACGCAACTCAGGGAAATTCAGGCAGTTGCGCAGCGCCAGTTGGTTGAGTGAACCCAGGCCCTGGGCCGCCTGTGTGAATGTACGTGAAGCAGGCCCTGGGCTGGATACGGGTACCGGGCCAAACACAGGCCAAAGGCAGTTGGGCACAGGCAACCACCTCAGGCCCAAGGCCTGGTTTCGTCGTGCTGGGCCTCAGGCTACCGGGGCCTACTGGAAGCTTCCTGGGACTGGACGCAGGCAGGCCACTTCGATATAGCAGAGGGCCTGCCTCCGCATTCGGCATTCGGGTGCTGGCTGCATGCTGCGCAAGCGCTGCTGCGCTATTTGCTGGCTGGCATCTACGCTCTCATGGGCGAGCAGGGAAGGAGCACGCAGCCATAGCCGAGCTGCGCTGCTGTAAGCTGGGTGAAGCGCAGGGTGGTCCTTGGGTGCTAGTGGCATCTGTGTGTTGGGGAACGAGGTTGTGAGTGTGGCGAGAGACATACCTGGTGCTAGAAGCGTGCGACATTGGTCGCCATATGCTCGTACTTCGGGAATGCTGTTGACGTCATCTTTCGGCATCGTAGTGTAGGCTAGATAGGATCTGCCACATGTAGTCTGGGCACCGAGCGCCGGATAGGATATCAACTCTGGTTCTTTGTTGATGATGATGGGACTATTTCCGCATTGTCAATTCTGAACTCTTGGTGTGTTCTTATTTGGTGAATCTCGTGATGCAATTCTTCTGTTGGTTTGAGGTCACGACTATCTGGACTCGTATGTATGATGCTGTTTGGTTGCTGAAGTTCGCTATTGCTCATCTTCCTTGCAAATCATTGAGCCGTTCACTTATCTGTTCCTATGTGTTCA